GAAATAGTTAGGTATGGTGGCTCACACTCTAATCCCAGCACTCAAGAAGTGAAGCAGTAGTATTACCACAAATTCAAGACCTGTCTGGGTTCTGCAGTGAGTTCTAGGCCAGTTTGGGCTACAATATAAGATCTTGCTTCCAACCAACCAACCAACCTACCTACCTACCTACCTACCTGCCTACCTACCTACCTAAGTAAAATTAAAAGACATTTAAAAATTACCTCCTTATTCATTTTGAACCATTGATATTGTACAAAAGGATGTCCAGTTGCTCGGCAACACAGTTTTACAAACTGTCCAGCCAAAACTGCCTTTGATTCTGGGTTTACAGTGATCTTTAATCCTAAAACAACAACAACAAAAAAGGTAAAGTCACAAAAGAGGGTTTTTCTTGCTTAGACACACAAAACAACAAAGAAAAATTCATCTTTGTCATAAATCAGGTATTTATTTCTCCTTCTCTATCAGTATGCATTCTTCAGCTGAAAAGTTTGTAAAACCCTAAGAAAAAAATCTGCAAAAGACTTTGATATACTCTATTTCTCCATGGTTGAGAAGGGAAATTATATGCCACATTTCCCCAATTTTTAGAAATACTATTTCTCCAAACTCTAACATTTCTGAGATCAGGATGCACCTTTTAAGACACCTGTTAGGCAGACATCACAGTGCAGTTCTCAACGCCAGCACATACAAATACCTGGTCATCAATGTTTTATATGGCCAGCACTTCAACTGAGTTAGCTGCACAAGTAATGGTAAGTTAGTTTTTCTCAAACTAGAGACACCTGAGAAGTTGACCTGGTGCATAACTAGAAGCTTCAACCCTACTGACTAGTGTTTATGGTACTGGAAGGTACTCTGCACACTACCGAAGGAGAAAGGCAACCTTCAACATCTCCCAGATACAAACAGTGCAATATATAACAGTGACCTACCTGCAAGATATAATGGTGGAACAGTGGCAAAATGTCATGGGAGTAACCAATCACTTTTGTGTGGATTTAAGGCCCACTCCATGACATGGAACCTATAACTGACACTGCTAGAACGACCAGGAACCTGACACTAGATAAGTCATGGGCCCAGGGGGAAACCTACTACTATTATTCTGCAAAAAGAACAGCAATAAAATGGTCCCTAGTGACATATTGCTATATCCATAGATCAGAGTATTGCTCAATCCTCATCAGAGAAGCTTCTCGCGGTAGATGAAAATTAACACAAAAACCCAGAAATGGACAATGTGCAAAGTGAGAGACTTTGGAGCACTCAGTATTACATGAGATATCTTCACAAAGTTCTTCCCCTCAAGGTATAGGATCTATACAAAAGAGTAGGTAGAAAGACTGTAAGAGTCAGGGGTGTTGAATGACTCCAAGGAAACAGTCTTCTGGATACAGAAGGGCTGTGTACATATGACCTCAAAGACAATGTGACATCATGTGCGAGACCTGCATAAATTCAAGCCCTATATAATTCCAGCACATAGTAGAAAGGGAAGTGGGCACAGAGTACCACCCCTAACCAAGAAACTATTTGTAATTGATGCCTGCTGGCAAAGAGAAAATCAGTTTTCTATGGTGGAGTATATTATATATATACACTAGGTATATCAACTACCCTCCAGGGCAGGGTCCATGTCCAGGAGTAGTTGGTCAGGTTTTTGTGTGTTTGTGTAGGAATTTTTGTTTCATTTTTTTGTGTTATTTGTATTTGAATTTTGTGGTTTATTATTGGAAAGAAAGAAAACATGGAGTTGCATGGGTAGCTCCAGAGGTAAGTAGGACCTGGGAGGAGTTGGAGGCAGGGGAAATATGATAAAAATATATGGTATAATAATTTTTAAAAATCTGTTTAAATTTTATTATTATTTTTATGTGTATGTAAATGTGATGCATGTGAGTATGGTGAATGTACATGCATGTTTGCAGGTGTATGCACCTGTGATGAACACCACAGACGTCAAAACTAGAAGCAGTTTAACAAATAATTCGAGGAAGACCAGATCTAGAGCAAAGTAGTCAACCCATGTGCTGTGGAAAAGCCCAGTGAGAGAACTAGCAAAGGGGAATACTTCATTCCTAGGGGCTTCTTTAGAAACTGTATTAGGTGCAAGAACTTAAGAGCACACGTTTCAGGATGAAATTGAACTTATCTTCAACTTCATGCTAATGGTCACTGGAAGTGACTTCCTTCTCTGCCTTAGCTACTTTTAGTTTTCAGAATAAATCAAAAGGAATCCCAGTGAGCTTCATAAAAGACAGGGACCTCTATACAAAAATCAGATGAAAGTTCTTCCTTGAGTCAAAATGAATAGTTTTCCCTTCTTGCATTTGAGCCTGAAAGGTCTGGTAAGATGCCATAGCTACTTCAACTCTAATCACACCTCTCTGCAAAGACTGTCAGGAAAAACGTGACTTTCTGTGGAATAAGAACTAATGTTTCCTGTGAAATAGTATTAAGTACAAAAGAGAAAGCACTACCATACTCTACATCTTCACTAAGGTTTAAGAATGCAATGTACTAAAAAGGAAAACTGGAGATCAGATAAATTTACTTTTATAAATAACTTTTTTTTGAGACAAGGTTTCACTATGCACTCTAGCTGTCCTAGAACTCACTATGTAGATCAGGCTGGCTCTGACCTCAGGAATCCGCCTGCCTCTCTCTATCTCCCAAGTTCTGAGATACACTGTTAATTAATTATAATTATAATTGTTTTTTTATAGTTGTTCTAGATTTGGTATTTGTCTGCCATACTGAACAAAGACCTTTTAATAGGCAGAAATGATGGCCTTGTTCATCTCTGAATTCACATACTTAATGCCTGAAACTGTGAAGGCAATGGAATATAAGAAGTGTTCAATACAGTGTACCTCCAAAGGAGGCATGAAAGGGTATAAGATGGCTGGGAATCCATGTTTTCTCCCTCATAATCTCGAACCCTTTCTATTTGTAGAAACAGTTTGGTTACATCGCCAGGGTCTGTTGCCTTTTACTTATCCATTGAGTCTATTTTTGCTTGGTGACCCATGTGGTTCTTGGAAAGCTGACTCAGCTTAACTCCATTCTTGGCTTTAAGCCAGGCATATCAACACATTTCATGTCCTTGGCTACAGTGACAGTATTAGGGACAGGAAAGTGAACAAAACTAGTTAACTAGAATAAACCTGCTTTTTGATTAACATTCTGGGACAAAAATAAATGAGCCTAAGAACACTCAGGAGACATCCTGAGCTAGGTGAGTGTCAGTTTTAGAAGGAAGTCAATGCCAAGAAAGAAGAGGAAAAACATTACATTTAGGGCTCTAACTCTGCCTCTTAGGAAGTCTTATCTACTTTTGGGTGTTTTAGGTAGAAATAATATTTTACCTTCAATTTGGGTTTCTGGTAGATGTAACTGACAATTTACCACTATATCTTATGTTCCTAATTTCTCATATTAAAAATATATCACAGGGGCTGGAGAGATGGCTCAGTGGTTAAGAGTGTTTAGTTCTCTTACAGAGGACACAGGTTCAATTCCCAGCACTCAACCATCAAGTAGTTCACAAGTACCTATAATTTCAGTTCCAGGGGATCCTATGCCCTCTGGCCTGTAGGAGTACCTGCTCCAATGTGGTGAATATAAACTTATGCAGACATGAACACATATACATAAATAATTTAAAAATACAGTTGGTTATATAAAGAAACATTAGCACACCAAAATTATATAAAACAGAGAGCATCAAATCCATAGCTTACAGTCCTTCCAGGCTTGACTGGATTGCTGGCTCCTAGTGGGACATGGCCAAATGGAACCCTGGAACACTGGAAATTCAGACATGGACTACCATAGCTGGCCCATCAAGCAACTTGGATGAAATGTTCTCCCTCTCTGCTAGTCACTGTAGTTGATCAACTCCACCTGCAGCTACAGCGAGGTCAGATTGTTTTCTATTTATTTAAGCAGCCATCTCTCCAACCTGTTTCCTATTTGTTTTGTTTTTAATTTTGTATTTTATTTTTATTTATGTGTGTTTGTGTCTCTGTGTATATGCAGGTGAGTGTAGGTGATGTTAGAGATGAAAAGAAGACATGGGATCCCCTGGAGCTGGTATTACAGGTAGCTGTGAGTTGCCCGATGTAGGTGCAGGGAACCATGCTTGGGTCCCATGGAAGAACAGCAAATGCTCTTAACTTATGCTCCACCTTTCCAGCCCCTTGTTTCCTATTCTACACATGACTCTGCATATGAAAAGCTTCACTCACTACAGGTATAATAAGAAAAATTCATATGGCTAATATTTCAAAAGTACAGCAACGGCAAAACACAGTGAACATCTATCTGATCTACTCACTTTACCTCATCCGTGTACACTGTGTTTTGGGCTACTATTATAGTGTATGTTACAGAAACCTTATCATGCATGGTCCCATAATATGGGAGTCTTTTGCTGGACTCCAATATTATGGCATAAGTCTCTAATATCAATTATGTGGATTACATTAAAAATTTTAAAATAATTGCCTAAAATGTCTTGTATATTTGCTTCTTGAACTATAATCCAATACTTTTGATGTCTTCTTTGGTTTCAAAATGGGGAAAGGGAGAATGAGACTCTATGCAGTTGTATTTTCCAAAAAATATTGAACATAATTTATCTGGTCAAAAGATGTATTTTTCTCTAAATCCAACTCCATTAGAACATTCCTGAAGGAAAAAAAACAAAACAAATAAAAAACACCTCACCTACCTGGGGGGTTGAGAAGCTGAAGAACCTCAGTGTGTTCCAAAGCCTGTAGGAAGTCGTTCAATTCTGTGACTGTACATCCTTTTTCACCCATTAGTTTCAATAAACACAAACTTGGGCTTCCTTCTGGCTCCAATACCTTAAGAGAACACTGCTCCAGGTCCAGGCAACTGAAACAACATGTTTAATTCATGATATGCCTAATATGTAGCTAGATCACTGTAGGTGCTATACAGAGAAAAACCTTGGGTGGTAGGAGACTGATTACATTATGAAAACTAGGGCCCTTCCGTCCTCTTTGCCCTCCTCCAGCAGCCCTCCTCCTCCTCCTCTAGCCTCTTCTCCCCTTTAGCTCCTTTAACAAGTCTGAAGGGTGTGAGAGACATTTAGTCTTGATGCTAATCAAACTTTTATCCTTAAATTGAAGAGAGGAAAAGACCAGAAAATTTCTCTACCTTATTTATTTATTTATATAGTTAATTGATCACCCTGTAGCCATAGGGTCTTACTATGTGCTCTGGCTGGCTTGCAACTTGCTGTAAAGACCAGGTGACCTGGAATTTAGAGAGTTACTTGTCTTTGCCTTGCAAGTGCTGAATGCTAGGACACCACACCAGGCCTCTTTACTCTTTCTTCTGTGTGTGTGTGTGTGTGTGTGTGTGTGTGTGTGTAATAAAGAAAATATTTTTATTTATGTATCAAAGACTGTATGGTTAACAGTTGCTGTCAAGATCAAGACACAAAAGGTTTGAAAAGCTATAGGTGATACTTCCCTTGGTTATTTTAGACAGCATTTTTGACACATGTCCAGCTGAATGTTTAGCATGATATGCGCTCAGGTAACAGAATTACAGTTCCATTAACTCTTTCTTTAAAGATGAAGTAGAATATGACCCAAAATGAAGGAACTAACTAGTTGGCAAGATGCTGCTATCATCTGAGAGGAACATGCCCCTTATCCCATGAGGCCAAAATACCCTAAATCATAGCATGAACAGATATAAACAGTGAGAGAAGTATTAAGAACAGAGAAGCTAATGTCTCAAAAATGATACTGGATAGATAATCAATGTTATAAAGTTAGCAACTGGAAAAGGTATTAAGAAGCCCTTGTCAAAAATCATATATTAGAAATAAATTACTAAGTTTTCAATTGAATAGGAGATTCATAAATACATGAGTGCAGTATACAAAATACATGTTTAATTATTCAGAAGTTTGCCAGACACTGAGACATGATATTACATCAGATATAACCAAAGGATGTTTTAACTGATATAGAAAAAAAAAGCTCAATAGGCAGAGTTTTCCTTCCCAACAAAGAACAAAGATCAAACTGAAGTTTCTGTTCCAAAACAAGATATACAGATAAAAGTAAGATTTTTGTATATCTTTTTGTTTTACTGATTTTCTGCATGGGCATTCACTGGCTTTGGTTTAGGTGATGTTTATACATATCCAACTTTTTTATCTTTCCTTTTTTAGTTATATTCTTGTAACAGTGCACTTGATGTGGCTTCTATAAACTTGAATTTGGTAAAGAACTTTATCACTGAAGTAGATGAACTCTGATTTTAAAAATTATTTTTAGGTGCTAGAGAAATAGCTTGGTGGTAAAGAGAACTCACTGCTCCTCTAGAGATCTGAGTTCAGTCCCTAGTGCACATATCAATCACATAGCTCACAACCATGTCTAGAGACACCATTTTCACTTCAGAACAGAAAAGCAACTGGATGGTATACTAAGCAGAAGAACATGCCTAACTTAAGGTTTTTATTTTATTGTTTTAGGCTTAGGGTAGCCTCAGGCTTAAATGCCTTCTGTTCAGCCTCCCTAATGCTAGAACTACACATTGATCTTTTCTTGGAGACGGGGTTTATGTATCCTAGGCTTGCCTCACACTCCCTATGTAAAGGACCTTTAATTTCTAATTCTCTTGCCTTTTCCTTCCAAGTGCTAGAACACAGGTATTTGCTACAATGTCTGGTTTATGTGGTGCTGGGATGGAACCTATATACACTAGGCAAACATTATACCGGCAGAGCTACAGCCCCAACTTGCTTTAACGTTTTGAAAGAAGCATTCTTACATTGTGTTAGAACAGGTTGGAAGGGGAAAGTAAGAGAGGGAAATCAAGCAAGTGCTAGAAGAAACTGGGTGAGATATGTAAGCTTAGCCTAGTGTGGCAGTGGATGCTGAATCTTAAATATATACTGAACATATAGCAGCCAAGATTTACTGATAAAAATGATATGTATGTAAGTAAAGTCAGGGATGACTGGAATTTCAAGTCTGAACAACTGGAGAGATGTAGTAGCCACTCAGATACAGAGAACTAAGGGCAAGAGGTTTACAGGAGAATGCATACTAAATTGTGGACATGTTACATTTAAGATACCTACTAAGTTGTGGACATGTTACATTCAAGATACCTACTAGTCATTTAAGAGGAGATAGAAATAGCAATCTACATATGTACATCTGGGAAAAGCAGATATATTGGCTGTAATCAGCTCGACTGTACTTCAAACCACGAATAAAGGATAATTATCAGGAGATTAGGAAGAAAAATCACTGAGAGACAAAAGCAGCATGAGTTCTAGCGCATCTAGATGATGAGGGACATCTGCATTAATGTTATAAAGACATGTTTTTATTTTTATCACAATCTGTTTGAAGGTAAGATTTCTACAGCTAAAGAGCATTTTCTACACTGCAGATGAGCAGCAACAGAGGTTTTCCTCTTGGTTCATGTTTTACAGTCCTACTTTTTTTAAATTTAGAAACAATCATTTTACATATCAATCTCCCCATTCCCTCTCCCTCCCATTCTCCCATGGCCCCCACTAACCGCCCACAACATCCCTCCACCCACTCCCCCAAGGACGACGAGGCTTTGGGGGATCATCAAAGTCTGTCACATCATTTGAGGGGAGGGCCTAGGCCCTCCTCCATGTATCTGGGCTCACAGCCCTACTTTCAAGCACTCTGCTTAGACAACTTAGGTATTTTAAAGCATTCTGAAAGTTCTGTCAATCCTTGGAGTTCAGCAGTGCCACTCACCACCAATCAACGTACGCTGGCACACTAACAGTATGTCTAAACCGGCAGCAAGACATCTGATTTTAGTCAACACAGAGGCGCATACCTTTAGTCCCAACACCTGAGAGGCAGAGGAAGATCTCTTTGTGTTCAAGGCTAGCTCAGTCTACACAGTAAGTTCCAGGGCTATAGCGATCCTTCCTTAAAGTGTCTGATGTTAGATCGGTTAGAACAGAATCAGGGTTTGAATGCAGGGCATTCCCTATGGGTCTCTGGTTATAGTAAACTAGACCACATGCAAAGATTCAACCTAACTCATCAGTAATCACCTGAAAACATTTCTGATATTCCTAATCTCTGGAGACAGCTCTGAATGGACCCTTCCTGTGATTTATGTTATTAAATTCTCATGTAACCTAAATAAAAATGCAAAGAGTGAGGGAGAAAAACGTAAAGAGTGAGGCTGAGCATGGTGGCACTCCGAAGGCAGAGGCAGGAGGATTACGACAAGTTTGAGGCCAGTCTGGTCTATGTAGGAAGACCTCATCTCAAGCTAAACCAAACCAACAAAAAAAGAACAAAGAAAAATAAACAGAAAAGGCAAAATCTGAGATTAGGGCTGTGAATCTAATGATGAGAAAAGCACTTCACATTTTCCCATGACTTGTTATATACATGGACCAGACTCTTACACTGCAATCAAAGGAAATGCCTTTATGACTTTTATCATTAGATGCTCTTCTATCACCGCATGAAGTCACTTTTTGTAGCACTAGCTGGCCTAGAATTCACAGTGATCCACCTGCTTCTGCTTCCTGAGTGCTGGGATTAAAGGTGTGCACTACTATGCCTGGCTTTCAGTACTAACTTTTAATAGCAATCAATTCTTCTGATGTCATTAGGGTGAATTTACTGCTTCCAGATTCTCCAACCCTCTCCACCACAATCAACTATCTAACCATCATCTTGGAAGACTCATGAAACTTACCTGATTCATATTGGAATCAACCTTGAATTCTAAGATTCTAAAAATAAACAGTAAGTAACTTCTCTCTATAACTAACTCCTTCTAAAGTGGCCTCCAACTTTTCCCTAAGTCCCCCCCAAAAAATGATTAACAGCATTCTGCAGTTTACTTAGCAGTATTTTACTGAAGGCTTGGGAAGGAAACTTAACACTCAGGATTGAGTACCCAGTCCTTTTATAGCTCAGGAGCCCTGCAACTTTCAGGCAGAGCTTAGTACACTGAGCTTTGCGTCTTCCTCCATCACCATTAAGCGCTCTCCAGGAAGTCTAGAGCCTTCCTTAACTGGATTCAGTTAAAACCGTAACACCCTGCAGGTCTGCCCTCAAAGAAAACAATTTCTTCTCTTATGTAAGTCTAGAAGTTGAGAAGTTTACAGAGCTTAAATGGTATTTTGGAACTTCTTTGTATATCCCCAAAGCCCAATGTATTTTTCTCCTAGGACAGAACGCATGTCCTCTGTCTGCTCAGCTTGGTAGTTCATTGTTTGTCTGACTTTTTCTCTAAGACAGGGCCTCATATACCTGATGATGGTCTTGGAACTCCTTGATCCTCTTCCCTCTATCTCTCAAGTGCTACAATTATAGGTATGTGTCACCAGGTCCAGTTCAGTTTGCCATTTTCTGATTTTTTTTTTAAATCAGGCAACATGGGCCTCTTCTACTTGAGCATCAATCCCTTACCAACATTACTCTTTGCCTCAATCCTAGACTCTGAAGCTCAGGGTTGTTGGGAAGGTTAAGGTGAATAATGCATGTAAATAGTACACTGAAATATGCTATGTGTTCAACAAATGATATTATTTACACCCAGCCTAGCATTTCATATGTTACTGTGAATGCTCCCAAAAAGCAGTCTATTAGAACTTCCAGCTAATACGAAGCACTCAATAAATACAATTTGAATGAAGACTCTCCTGTCAATTTAAGAAGTATTTGTCTAAGAGAAGTTCCATGTATAGCACAAAATAAGAAATGGCTTCTGCTCCTAAGCTTATAAAATGTACACAAATAATTATAGTAAAAGTCAAAGTTTAGTTATTTGACAAGAAACTGGAGGAGTTAAGAGACAGGCTGAAATCTTGGCAAGGGTGTAAAAGCAGTGTTTCAAAGTTCTATTTGGGAACCTCTAGTGCAGTTCCTGAGACCACTTTCAGGTAGCCCACAGGTTAAAGCTTTTTTTTCTTACTAGTACTAAGTCACTATTTTCTATTTATTCTTAAAAGTGTATACACAAGTTTCTAAGTTCTGATACTTAAGATACTGCAATGGAATGAATCGAATATTTAAAAAAAGAATCTAGCTCTGAAATTAAACTAAGGCACCATAAAAACATTCAAGGCACTCAGAAGTATGAGATAAGAAAAACGCTACAAGATCTAGACTAGACTGGTTGATATAGTGTTCCAGGACTCCTCAGGCTACAGTGAGATCCTATCTCAAAAACCAAGAAGAAAAAAAGACTTCAAGATGAATATGATGGTGCCAGCTTGAAATCCCAGCTTTTTTGGTGGTGGGGGGGACGGAAACTGGACAGAGAAATCTGAAGATAGGTTAAGCCACATAGCAAGATCCCCCCCCCCCCAAGCAACAGTTTTAAAAATGTTAACCGATGCCCTATTTGTTTCTGGACAAACTTTTTCTAAAGGAAAAAAGAAAAAAAGGGTATCATTTCTGCTACCATGTAAGAATTACTTAAGACCAATATTTTAAGAGTTATTGGTTTTACATTCAATTAGCAAATATCCATATACACCTGCAAGAGATACAGAAACCCACACAAGCTATTTGTAGTCTTCAGGATCATGGAATTACTGAAATGCAAACTTTAAGAATCACAGACTGTGGTCCCTCCTCTCAGCATTTAATTTCTTAGAGTCTAATCTACGTGGTGAGGTCAGGAGAAGGTTTGGTGAGCTCGTTGGACTGAAGACGATGGTGCTTTTGGTCCGGTCTCTTCCCTCCTTTCAAGTTCCCTCCACCTAGTCACCTGTACGCTTCACTCCTCTAACCGCCCGCGTCCCTCCAGATTGCCCTTTGGATTCCGAGGGCTGTGTCCACATCCCTCTTTTACTTTAAAACCCACTGGATTACGACCCTTCCTCTTCTTCACACAACCCGGGTCAATTTCCAGCGATCGCTTTCCAGCTCAGGGGCCGCCTGGCCATTAGGGTCAGTCCCTTCCCTATTCCCCGGGTCCCTGACGGTCTCGCGCGACTCCGTGCCCCGGGGCACACCCCTCCACCCAAGAGTCCCGTGTCCCGGTCCCGGCTCACCTGAGCCGGAGGCGCCCCCGACTGCCGGCCAGCTCCGCCAGCTGCCTCCAGCCCCGACCTTCGGGTGCGCGGTCCAGGTTCTCGCTGAGCCTCCGCAGCAGCGGCTCCGGCAGGCGGTTGAGGGTTGCACCGGCTGGAGGGGCGCTCGGAGGCCCCGAGGGCGCGGTCGGGGGAGGCTGCACGGCCAGGGGCAGCGAGGCCTGCAGCGGCTGCCCCCACAGCGACATGGCTACGCTGGTGGCCCCGACTGGCCTGCTCCAGCCGGTCACCTCGGGTTTCGGCGCCCGCGCACCTTCCGCTTGCCCCTCGCCGTCCCGGGAGCCACAGGAGCGGAAGGAGAAGTCGGCCGCACAGCGGGGCCCTCACAGGAAGAAGCACTGCTCCCGGCCCGCGCGACAGGTTCCCCAGAGAAGCCACGGGGCGAGCCAGCCGAAGAGAGGGGAGGGTTTAGGGGGCGAGGCCGGGCTGCGCGTGTGTGGGCGGGGATTGGGTGGGACCTCGTTGCTCTGTGCCAGCGGCCTCTCCAATTGCAGGGAGAGACGGGCTCGGGGGCGGGGCATAGGGTGGGGCCGGCTCGTTAGAGGCTTTAGCCTCACCTGCAGTGACGGGGGCGGGCCCTGGCTGCGGGTGTGCGGCTCGCCGCCTCCGCCTCTTTGGACGGGGCGTGGCGTGCGGCCGCACCGCCCCTGCCGCTTCTGATTCTGCGGAGCAGGAAGGGATGGGTGGGTATTGCTGTTGGAGGAAGCGGTGAAGGAACTGCCGCAGCTAGGAAGCCTGCGGCGTAGGAGCTTCCCGGGACCGTGGGAGGATGCTTACCTCACGCCGGAGAGGGTAGCACGCGCTTCCTGGAGGCGCCCCCACGCGCGCGTCTGCTCTCGGAGGACCCCGGGGCTTGCGTATGTGCGGTGTTCGCCAAGAAGCCGCCAGCTTCCCACATTGGGCAACCTCAACAGATGCTTCCTCTGCAAGCGGGTGGTGTTGTCAGAGGGAAGTAGTGGAACTGGAGATTCAAGATATTCATAAGGGAATCGACCCAAGTCTTTTCGAGACTTTTTTACATTTGAGTTTCTTATCTGGGGATTCAGCGGTGCAGTTTGGTGGTAGGGCTCCTGGTCTAGCTTGTCTAAAGCTCTGGGTCCATCCTCAGCCCCTCAAAAGCAAGCAAGCAAACCCAAATACTTCTGGTACATTTTAACTAATTAGGTCCTGGAAATAGTTGATTTTAGCAGTAATGGTGTGGTGCCCTTCGGATCAAACTGTGGTTCACAGTGTTCATATTCCAAGCAGTTCGCCTGAACGAGCTAGAGTCTAGCACATGAGTCTGGATCGTGGATGATTTACATCATTCAGGGGAACTGCTTGGAATATGACCACAGTCTAGATTCTAGACGAAGCGACAGGAACTCCGCTTGAACCCTTGCCTAGTCTCATCCACAGCAGAGGCTGTTATCCCGTTGGAAACTAGACTTGTTGACACAGGAACAAACAACTTAGGGTGACCGGTCAGGTAGCCCTGAGATAGAAGTCTTCCTGGCCCAATTTATCGTGCCTTTAGCTTTTCATTACTCCCTGCAGCAGTAATTTGAATGACCAGATTCTCACAGTTGTTGGCAGAGTGGTTGTTTTCCATACGTGTTGCACCACATTCTAGTACAGCCAGTCACTGAGTTTGTTATGACCTTAGTACGTTGATTTCTGCCCTTCGCCTGTTAAAATGGGACTCGATTTTAGTATGTAGAGTTCTTGCCAGGGTGAAAATATTTGATGCTGATAAAACACTCAGTACAATGACTGGCACGTACCAGATACTCAGCCTTTCCCCTTAACAGCACGAAGAAAGCCTGTTTCACGTTTAACTTGAATTGGAAAGCTTTCCCCATTTTTTCTAGTGTCTTATGTTTTCCTCAGTTACTGGACATATACATTTCTGTTATCTATGTGTGCCAGTTATGGGTATTAAAAGTCGTGTGTGTGTGTGTGTGGTGTGTTCGGGGGCCTTATGTATTCCAGGCTGGCCCTAAAACTTCTTTCTCTCTTCACCTCCTGAGAGCTGGGATTAGAGGTATTTACCAACATGCACAGTTCTATGCAGAACTAGTTATGGAATCCAAGGCCTGTCATATGCTAGGCAAGCACTCTATCAGCTGTGTTACATCCCGAGTCCTAACTTTTCTAATCTATTGTTATTCTGCATTTTAATTTAAATTCTTTTACATTTAAATTCAACAATTTTGTTTTCCCTTCCAAACCTACTTGTGCAAGCCATTGCTTACGAAGCTTCTCCCACATGGAAGAATCATAAATGTGTGCTTACACTGTTTATCGTGTGGGTATACTTTCTGTCTGTAGCTCCTGCTCCCTTACTCAGCGTGGCTTAGCTAGGCACCATAGTGATCCCCTTCCCATCCCCTGCTTTCCCATGCGTCTTTACTTCATCCACCTCCTAACAGGTTTCCTACCTAGCTGGTTTAGAATCTATACAACCACCTTTCCGCTACCCTCCATTGGGTACTTTGACAGACATTGCAGTTTTATGTTGGTTGGTATATTTCTTCTCTTAATAAAACCCCTTATTTCTACTACCTAATTTTCACTTATCTTCTGGGGCCTAAGTGACTTTTAAAGTGAAGCTGTGAGTTCAAATCTTGATGCTGTCACTTATTACTGATATCCCCTTAGGCGAGTTGTTGAACTTGCCTGAGCTTCGGTTTCTGTGCCTGTAAAAGGCAGAAGATAATGGTACCCATCAGTATAATGACTGGGGAAAGTAGGCACAGCATATCCATTGCTTGAGGGAGTACATTCTGAGATATGCATCCTGAGGTGACTTTTGTTGTGTGAACCCAGTCTCATGAGACAGCAGGTGCGGTCTGTTGTTATTCTGGTTTGATTTCTGTTGCTATGCTCAACACCACTACCAAAAACAACTTTTGGAGGTTTCTTTCTTTCATCTTACCATCATTAAGGGAAGACAGGGCAGGGACTGATGTAGAGACCATACAGAGAATGTGGCTTACTGGTTTGCCTCCAAGGCTTGCTCAGATTGCTTTTTTCTACAACTGCCCAGAAATAGCACTTCCCAAAGTGAGCTTGCCCCGCCTCCATCAATCAAGACTATGGCCTTCAGATTTGCCTACAGGCAATCTGGGAGAGGCATTTTCTCAATTGAGATTCCTTCTTCCCAGACAACCTCAACTTTTGTTAAACTGATGAAAAACAAGACAAGACAAAATAAAACCAATCAGTGTGCTTGTTGGCCACCATCTTATGTGGTATATGTCCATATGAGTACTTTCAAAGTTGACTCATTTTGGGAACGATTTAAAAATGTACCTCCTTTTTTCCTCTATCAACAATTATATTAATGACAGGAGAAAATTTGTGAGTGGAGACATGGCTTTAATTTTAAATTTTTCTTTCTTTTTGTTTCGAGACAGGGTTTCTCTGTGTAGCTTTGGAGCATATGCTGGCACTCGCTCTGTAGACAAGGCTGGCCTTGAACTCACAGAGGTCATCTGTCTGCCTCTCTCTCCCGAATGCTGGGATTTAAAAAAAATGTCTAATCTTTCAGTTAAAAATTAATTTACAGAGAGAGAGAGAGAGATGTGTGTGTGTGTGTGTGTGTGTGTGTGTGTGTGTGTGTGTGTGGTGGCAGAGCAGACAGATAAAGGTCAGAGGACAACTTTGGAGAGAAGGGTTCTTTCTTCTACTACATGGGTCCTTGGATTGAACTCAGGTAGTCATGTTTGGCAGTAAGTGCCTTTTCCACTGAGCCATCTCAATGGCCCAAGATAACAGCTTGTAAATCTCCCTTAAATATAAACGAATGTGTGTAGATAATAAATATCATTGGGAGTTGTTCCTTATTATCTGAAAGGAATAAAAGTTGTGCATCTGGACAATTTGAGGAAGCTCATGGTTGCATTCTATGAAAGTCTGATGACATAATCATAATGATCTCACTCATGGATGTAGACACTGACTCATAGTTCTTTTTTTTTAACATAATTTGATTGTGGATGTCAACCAAAAATGACAGATAATACAGTTCATAAATGAACAGGTCTTAAAAGACTTGGTATAGGAGAATATCTAGAGGCCTTCAGGTTTGTATATACTGAAGATAAGGGAACTGAAAATGATGAGAGTTAAATGGCATTGTTTCTATCCCCTACTGTATGTCTACAACCTTTAGTGACCTCTCTGACTCACCCCTGAGGTGGGGGCATGAAGGCTCCCACTCAGACACAATATTGGCCATATGCCTTGCAGCACATTCTGGCTGATGTTTCCTAAAGAACTGAGGAAATTATCTCATTTCGATTATAACTTAAGCATAATAGCTAAGTACACCATTTCAGTTTCCCACACCCTACTTTTATAACGGATCATCTAGACCTAAATGTTTCTATTTACTGTGAAGATTATACTTGTTTAAATTCATCCATTCAATTGCCAGCCAGTTTTCACTGGTTGCTTACATTGTGTCAGACCCTGTACCAAGTACTGTTGGAGGATAGTTTTGTTTTAAGTTGAAGTCATGAACCTCAACAAATACACTATGAACCTATGTTAAAGATTTCGTGTAACTCATTATTTAGTGAGGGAAGCAAATTGGAAGAGATTCCAAAGATGTGATTAACAGTGATAAATACATAAATCTATCAGGAATGCTGGAATGTGTTTGCTTCACAGACACAAAACTGGCCTTCTCCCACAGCCAAAGAGAGAAGCAGTTGAACTGCCGCTTTACATTATTTATTAATGAGCAAGAATTGCTTACAGTGCTGTCAGGTGTCTTCTGCTTCTCAGTGTTGAAAGGCAGTCCTAGGCAAAGACAATGAAAGACAAAGATGAGCACTTCCTTCCACGTGGCCAGAGAAAGAAGGGCTTACAGAAGCAGAGCAGGAAGAAATCCAAGGCAAAAGCTCAAGGCGACAAAACACCACCAGAATGGCAACTAATTGTGGTTGGTTCAGGAGAGCCAGAGGCACACAAAACAAAGGGCAGAGACCAAGAAGAAGACAGGATCATATCAGAATATGTCACACTAAAGAACTAAGTTGTCACAGGTCTGTGCCTGCTATGGGATTAGTGAGTTATATAAGAAGCTTTTAAGTAGCGTGTAGATTTTTTCACAGTATCTAAAAGAAAATGTCTGTCAGAGTCATCAATTCTTCAGTAGTTTGACTAGGGTAATGCCAAATTTAAGTTAAAATGTGATTTTTCTCTAAAGGGACCTACTAAGTTACCAAGACAACAAGAGGCACATGAGGATGTTAAAACCCTACAGGTTGACAAAAGTTTAAAGCTTGAGACATTCTGATTTCAGTAAGTGATTACAATATTTGAAATATTGTAATCATGATAGTTACTTCACTTTCGGATCTTTGAGAACTCACTTAGGCTGCACTAGAACGAAGACTAGAAGTTCAAGGAGTCTTACAGCTG